CGAGGAATCACTTTGTTTCCACAGACACTTGGGGTTTGGAGCTCAAAATGCCTTTAAAATCCAAATAAAATGCATATTTGTCAATCCCAGCACATGGACTGATCATATATATAAAAAAAAACTTAATATAAGCTGTTTTGCAAAAATTTCATATTTCAACATCTATAATAATACAGAAATAGGAAAGAAGGCACTTACTGACATAAAGCATGAATAATTCTGGTAAATTTTCACACAAAAAAGAACAGAGAATTTATTACCCACAGTCCATCATTGACACACTTTGCATGTAATGTAGGGTATGTTTAACAAGTGTTCATCCCCCTGTTTTGACACAAAAAGCACGGCTAGCCAAAAGCAGTGTTTTCACTGTCAATTAAGTATGGACCCCAGGCATGTCAACAGTCATGCCAATAAAAGAGTTAATTTTGAAGCACAAAGTGGTGTTAATTTGCCTTCTTGCCATTTCCACAGAGTATGAGACAACAAAATGAGTTTTGAGTTGAATGTAAGCCACTGTAAAGCAGTCTGAATGAGCGCCTAAATGTACAGTAACCAGTGACATTGATGAATGAGGTTAGCTTTGAAAAGGGCTGTTTTGTGCCAGCAAAGTATGTTGCCCCCCGGCTTCAGTCAGGACTTTTGCAGCTGAATCCTAGATTGCAATAGAAGCTTAACTCCTCCAAACATCAGTTGGTGGAAGTTTGTTTCCAGGACCTGCCCTATATGTACAAAAACAGCACTCTGATCTTTTCAGTCAACGTGTCTTTGGTGAAAAATTCAGTTTAACTCCAAATCTTACAGCACACTTCTAGTCTGAATGTTAGGTAATCTCTATGCAGTGATCTTTCTTTCTTTTGGACTGATCAGGGTGAGCTGTTTGAATGTTTAAACACATACATGATGTGATAATCAGATATTTTGTTTTATTGGGTTTTATGCTGTTTTACCCTGGAGCTTTATATTACAATCATGGTAAGGAAACTATGATGTCATGCACTTAAAATCTTATCAACGTTAACATAATCAATCCTGCAAGTTCACATTTTTGTGAGATTTTACGAGACAGTGTATTGCCACCTTGAATTTGCAAAGAAAAAATAACAAAATTATGACTATTTATTATAATTACAAGTCTGCTTATAAATGAAGTATTGATGAAATAAAATGCATATTTCCATTTTCTTTATTTTCACTGCAAAAATTTATTTTTCACTGCAGTGAAACATATTTTCCTTATTTTCACTGATGTCTTGCCAGAATACTTTCTTCTTAATTCAGCCACTATACAAAATTTAATAGAAGTCTTTAAAATTGTAATGTCAAAAAAAAATGTATAAAATGAACAGAAAATTCATGTTTATTTTATAAATACAGGATTAAATTTCATCATGTGGTGTCAAAATTACTATATTTTACTTGTGGCTTCCACCACTCGTGAAATATTAATTTTCATACCACTCAATGAAAATAAATCCTTTTATAGACAAAATCTTGAATATCCTCTACAGAGTATTTGCAAATATGCTAAATTTGGATGAAATAATAATAGAGCAATAAAGAAAATTCATATGATTACGTGTTTGTTTTTTTTTTAATTTCATAATCCCACATCTTTTTCTTAAGATTTTCATCTTTAGAGATCAAAAGCAGGGGCCAATAAATCTCTTGCAAGGGATTGTGTGTCTGAGGCCCTCTCTGGACGGGAAAAAATTATATTTTTAGAGCTGCTTAACCCTATGTAATTAACGTCAGTCATATGTCTGTGGGCAGTTACCTTACAAGTGTTACCAATAGTACTTCTGCAGATGTTAAATTGGGCATGAGGATAAATAGCATTCTAGACATAAGCAGTATTGTCAGCAATCAAAGTGTTATATTCAAAAATAGAACTTGCAAATTTAAGGTTTGTGGATACACCTTGATACCAGAGAAGACATTTAAGCACATAATAAAGCTATGAAGAAAATCTGATATAACTAACCGTTGGGGTTAGGGTAACCAAACAAAACTTGAATTGGATTGTATGATGAAACAAATAAAATTTGTCTTACACATTTCACTTATTTCCCTTTTTTTGTTAACCTGAACAACATTACATGATTTTTTTGTAATCTTTTATGTTAATTTTCATGCTTAACCTTTTCCCTTATAGAAGCGAGAATCGCCGTCTTTTACCATTCCCTGATAGAAGCGAGAATCGACGGCTTTATCGATTACCGCATGTAAGCGAGAATCGCCGACATGCATGATCTCAATGGAAGCGACTTTCGCCGACTTCAATATTTACCTGTCCAAAAATCAACAATTTTCCCGGAAAATAGACCTGTAAATTGTGTTATCGTAAAGATCAACATTTCATGAGGGGATTCCGTGCATAAAATTATGGTGTTACTATTTAAAGTTTTTGTATAATTAGCGACCAACCAGGTGAGGGGTTTTCCTTACGTCACGCAGTTAATGAGTGCGCGGGTCAATGAAATAAATATAGAACGTATCGTAAGACAGGAACAAAAGTGTCTAAAAATAGCATCTAATGAATAAATAGTATTTATATGATCACGGGTCGTTCACGTGCCAGGCATGGTATAATGGATTTGATGTTTGTTTTGGTTTATGATAGCTGACATGTGTATATACACGGATTAATTAACGTCCTGACAAGGGGTATATCTCTCTGGCCCCTGCAATAAAATATTTCCGGTAGCAGCGGCGATTTTTTTAAGAAAATGACCGACAAAGAAATGTTTAATAGTTTAAATTCTTTCATGTGCGCTATTGTTTTCATAACAGACACAGCATGGGGCCGTGTATTATACGACATGATAAAATCATATCCCATATATCATCTTTGATGTCGGCAACATGAAAATGCCGAAAAGGCCGTGGAACTCGAGGATGTCTTTCCTTTATCATCATTTGATCTAAATTAGATCTATAAATGATAAAATTTAATTAAATTCATAATTCATGAAGAAAATATATGACCATGACAGCAGAAATTCTGAAATATTTCATTCAACAGTTATATACATGTATTACAGAAATGACAGTTACTATTATGAAATAAAATATAAAAAAAAACTGATAAAATAAATAAAAAAAAAAGTGAGATTTCTTTTTACTGGTATAAAAAAAGGTAAAAAAAGAACTTGTTGTTATTTATTTCACTAAAAATGAATGCTGCATAAACCAAAAAAATTAATAATAAATTAGCCATATTTCCCTAATGAGAGAAAAAATTATACATCATTTTATTGTTTATAAACTACTGTAATTATACTGTTATAAAGCCCACAAATATAAAATTTATACCACTGGAAAGATAATTCAAATCTCTACAAATCTTACATTGACATATATATTGTCAAACTTGTAATTAAACCATTTCACATTAGTTAAAACACATAAGTAGCCTAATTATCTGAAACAATGGAGAAAAAAACACCTAGTATATAGTTTATTACTTTATAACTCATGTAGACATATTTGTATAAACCCAACAAATATGATATTTATACCATTGGAAAGGTATTTCAATTCTCTACAAACTTTTTATTGATACAAAAATTGTCAAAACACAACTTAATACTTTATTTTCCAGTTAAAGTATATAGGTATCTAATTTGACCAATTTTACCTATAATTTATCATACCCTATATGGAGATAGTGTGTGACTCCTTATCAGTAGGATATTGATTATTGATTATCTATCTGGCTACTGTATTATGGGGTGTAAAGCAGTAAATTAAGGGGGCTGTATCAGGGAAAAGGTTAATAGGCTTGTCCAGTGAGTTATTGCCCTTTGTTATTTTTTATAATTTTTTTTTTGTCTGTATCATTTCTCCTTAACTATAAAAGCTATGAACTTGAAACTTCATATGATGATATATCTCATTTAGAAGAAGTGCAGTGTACAAGAACTGGCACTGTGTACTTCATGATTTTTGAGTTATTGTCCTTTGTTATTAATTTTAATACTTAATTGGCTTGTCCAGAGCATAACTCGGTCACTATAAGTTTGATTGACACCCGAAATTTGGTATGCAAGCTTTTTTCATTGACCTGAAGTGCTATGCACAAGAATCCATCAGAGACCCCCATTTGATCTGTCAGTGTAAAACTTTTCCATGGTATTTTTTTTTTTTTGGATAATATAACAATTTCAATAATCCTGTTGTAACATTGTTACAATCAGTTCAAATGCCACTATAATTAAATGGTAAATGTACATTGCAAGAGCAGTGATTATAAATAACCTATATTTAAGAAGAAAATGCCTAACTGATAGCTAGTACTGTTGACAAGGCGACACATCTGACTTGCAGAGTTCTTGTTTAATTATCAGAGCTGTAAACTTATAAAAAAATAACATATGTGGTGGGAATGGGAGGTAAAAAGTTGAAAAAAGTATTTATTTTTGTGTTTATCACTAGTGGTGTCATGATTAAAAACTTGAACTTTTTCAATCTCTAGTCAAAAAAATTTATAATATACCATGCACTTAACAGATTGTAAGATATACTTCTGTCATGACAACATTTCAAATTAATTATAGTACAATTACTTTGTTTCTAGCTTTAATTATCAGAATTATTAAATATAAATTTCCAACCTGCCTTACTGTAGGGGCGAGATCAAATTTTAGTAAAAAAGATTCAAATGTGTGACTGTTAACTTTGAATACATTTGTGTTTCCTGTTAATCCATAAAGCATTATGCTTTCCCACCACGTTTTGTAATAATAATATTTTTTCATGAAATTCATACAAACTAGTCAAGGGGGATAACCCTTTTTGAACAAATCCAATTTCAAGGGAAATAACCGTATCACAATTTGCTGAAATAACTTTGAGAAAGTCCCCGTAAGGTTTTGGCCAATCAAAAATGTCGTTCTATCAAAACTGACCAATGGACACACCTATCTCGTTCAGCCATTTTGGATTTGACAGCAGAGGCATATATCACAGTAAGTTTGATTAAGTGGCAAATACGTCAATGCAGGTTACATTTCGTGAATGTCTTCCTTATTTACGTAAAATGCAATAAGAAAGACACAACCTTTTTAAATTAAACGCGTAATTCGTTGAAAGAATTTCAATTAAAACTGGTTTTATTTTGGACTTTCTTCGTGAATTGGCTCGGGAGTTTGACACACCTGGAATTTCTGGTATTTCCTAAAAGAAAATATTGTAATTTATCGTTGTTGTCACTTCATTATTTCTCTACACAATATGACATTGCACATTTCTTGGCATTTAAAACTAACTTTTCAGTCTTTACACATATGCCAAATGTATTATGACAGGGGTTTCCTTCTCAGTGGTCAGGTGTTGACATTTTCGCTGTATCAATAAAGCACCTGTCTTTGTAGCTGTGTCTATATTGTTTTTGATAAAGTGAACAGTTGTTTACTTTGTGCTGGAAATGTAAGAAATGCATGTGAATGCCCATTTGTATATATGTAGATATTTCATTAAACAGCTTAACTAAAGTTTAGTAAGTGAAGCAATTAAAGTCTGCTTTTAACAGAAAGGGTTTGACATATTTTACTGTACAGACTTTTCCCCCAAATCCTAATTTTTAATTCTGTGTAGTGAAATATGTTGATAGCACTGCCATTTTAACTTTATATAATACTTAAAAGTCATGTTCCAAAAGTCAAGGGGAAAAAATCACCACTCAAAAATTATTCTTATGTCTCTTTGACAAGTTTTATAAGTTGGCTTAAAGTGGTCAGATCAACAATTTCCATAAAACAATACACAGCTTATTATACAGTACTTAAAAAAAACAAAGAAAAGGCGAGTAATTCTAAATTGTAAACTGTAAAGTCTAATTTTCAATTTAACACTTACAGTCAATATGAAAATATCTTAAATTTTTTGTTTTTATATTTGACAAAACAATTTCAAAAATTCTTTCTTTTCATAAGGTCAAAAGAGATCACCGACAGAATGCCAAGTTAGAACTTAACCACATCCCCCTCCCCCTGTTCTATAGTGCAAATACTGTAAAAAGTCAAAATTAGTGCATGAAATAACAAATGTGCAACTATGCCAAGGAATGTCTGAACCATTCTTAAGATGCAGCGTTATATATACAAAAGTGTACAATTTTAGTTGATATAATATAATTATATTAGACAAGTTAGATGTCATACATGTAAAGAACAGTCTCTATATTGTGTAAAGTATACAGAGTCATAATGTCATAAGTGTGTATAAACTGAATTTTATTATTTGGATCAAGTATCTTGTAAGATTGTTTCTTATGAACACACAGTTGTCATGTTTATTTAGATCATCATCCATGTGGTGAGAGATTACTAAGTTTCCTGTAATTTATTTATGCTACTAAATCATCGAAAATTTACGAAAAATGTGGCCGCAGATAAATCTTAGAAAAACCATAATACTTAAAACTAATATACATTATTGTTATCTGCAATCTTGATTTTATAAGTTTAAATATTTTTTATAGATTATTTGATAGTGTCAATATCATTCATGATTGTCATTGCATGTCATTCATATCCATTTTTTAGTAGGCACAGAAATTTTGCATACTTAATTTATACTTATGCTACAATCATATGGTATCAGAACTAATCTTTACTTAAGTGAATTCACCATTCATCTAGTAATATAATTCCCTGTTCTTCTTGTAATATAATTGACTATTTCTAAGATAGACTTTCATATGTTTGTAATACCCAGTTATTATGCTGCTTGCACATTCTGCTTTATTCTATATAGCGTATTGAGTCACTGCATCCTTGTAAGGTCGTTTTGTTCATTCTATCTACTGTTGTGGTATTGTGCAGGTATTGTTGAATACTCTGTCCAGTCCTATATTTCTTGATACTGACTATCAACAAATCACCTTTTTTCCAATGTAAAATAATGTTGTTACAGTTAATATTGTAAAAGGATTATTGAAATTTTATTTAGAAAGACTGAAAGTTTCTGTTAAAACAGATTTTTTTACTGTGCAAAAATTATGCATTTGGTAACATGCAAACAAAGATATTTACTTGTTCATTGTCTCAGTGAAATACAATATGAAGATTTATCATTCACCTGATGTTAATAAATATGTGATTAACACCAATTTCAATATAATTGTTTTAATTAAAAAAGATAATTATATATCATGATATCTCTAGAAAATAACTGTATAAAATACTTTCCAACTTCCTAGATCCACTAAATAAACTTTTATGTTAAGACAAAATAAAATTATATTAAAGCAAATGTCTTGGAATACATGTAAAAATGTACACCCTTGATAAAGTTACCAGTTTGACTGATAGTAGTTAAACAGTTACATTTAAATGTTACAGTATGTCTGGTATAATTGTCTTGTTAATTAAGTTTCGTTACAAACCAGTGTAGAGATATCAAGTACTAAAATGAAGCAGATTAATACTTGCTTGTTGTGTTACTCTGTGTAAAAGTATATAATTATTGAGTATATAATTATTTTGAGTGGAATCAGAAGCAGGTCTGTGTTCCAGTGGTAACACGCTAGACTTTATCCCTGGGGTCTCCGATTTGATCCTGGCTCTTTTGGAAGGACCTTTATAGGATCCAGGGTAACTGAAATGCAACAACAAAGAAACAGAAAGAAAAAAAATAACCAGACTGAATACACAAACTATTTAAGCTTGATAGAATTAACTTGGCCTCAATATCAGATGAAATAGTGAATATTTAGAAAGAAGAAAATAAAATATATATAGAAATTGAAGAACTGCCATCTGTTTTTCGAAATGATATTAAACAAGGTTAAGTTTTATAGCAACAAAGAGGTGGTAGTATTTATTTAGAGAACTGTTACAATAATTTATGAAATATGTTTTAAGATTGCTTTATTGCTAAAAGGAATTGAATAAAAAAAAACCAAGTCTGTGTAGGATAATTATGTTTACTCTGGAACAGTGCATGTTAAATGCATGTTGTTAAATAGTTTATGCCATCTAATAGCATGATAAATTGTTTGTCATATTTCACTAAAGTGGTAGTTTCCTGAAATATATCACAGTGGCTTTTTAAAAACAATATCACCTCAAAATCTATATCGAAACCCTACATCACCATATCTAATAAGAACACTCAGCTGTCATCAATGATAGAAAAGTTTATACAACTTGTGTAAGCACATACTTGTGTATATATTTGAAATTTTAGCTTCTGTTTTATTTTTTGAGAGATATTTCTGTGGCACATGAATATCTTTGTTCAGGTTAGAGTCTTATACCTTGGGGCTTTGATTACAATTTCAAAATTCAAGTTACATTTCCACTGTATAATACTGTCTACAATTTTGCTCTTAGCTACCTGAATGAATGTTATAGACTTTTCCTGCTATCAATTGACCAGATCATTGGAACAGACCATTGTAACAAATGTAAGTGTCAGGGATTGCAATTTTTAGTAACAACCAACTGAACAGAGTTACTTTGAGTGACAGTCTTGAATGCAGAGGCAGATAGGGTGGCCTGGCTGTATACATGTTAAAGTTGTCATATAGACAATTAATAAGTGATTTCAGCATTGCAAGTTTCTCAGAATGTTTCTTGTAAATCCAATGATTTTATTGGTCTCTAGGGGCATATATGTTTACTAATTCATAATGCATGTATATTTAGTATAGCAATAGATAAGTGTGCTAATTGGAGGCTGTATGGTAAATATTTATTGTACAATTTTCATCCTGTCCATGTAGAAATATGTTAACAGAGACTAAGTATTGATTAGGATTGTTTTTGCTAGGATTTTAACACAATTATGGCATCTATTATCAGGAGATTGTCCAATGTTGAAAGGTTTGAGATTTATATTTTGTATAATTTGTGACTTTTTGTGGTTTAGAAACTATAGATCCCTATAGATTATTACTTGATAAATCATCTATAGATATCATTGAGATTTTAAGTCCTTTATGATCAATCATTTTGTCGATTTTGTTGCCTGGTTTACTTAAGTTGATTTTATTGCCTGGGTAATTTGATTTAATTCTTGTTCCTTACCATGTACATATGAATGCTGAAATGTGAAAAGATTGCAGGAATTGTGCAAAATAAACCCAAGTTGTGCATATCTATGGCCAAAACAAGTAACAGTCAGTAAGTAAACCTAATATATTTCATAGGAACTCTCATTGAAAGAAACGATGCTAAAGACATAATATTTCAACCCTTATAACAAGTATTTCAAGGAAAGGTTCTGTTTTTCAAGATAATTCATGTGAAAGACAGTCTGGCTATCATATTGAAAGCAACTTGACTTTTGTGTTTCCTTGTTATAAAAATAGTATAATAACACATATAAGTCTTAATTGTTCTTGATATTCAGTATACCTGAAACATTTACCAAACTACTAATGTCTTATAACCTTGGAATGAGCAATGAGCACATCAGCTCTGATTCAGACACTTTTTATAATGTAATGCAGATTTTGTTAATAAAGCACCAAGGCCACTAGGCTGGTTGCCTCATGGAATACTATGTTGTATATGCCTAGAAATGCAGACTAGCTTAGCTCTTTACTGGTGGCAAAGGCTTATCACTGTAGAGGGTGTTGAGTTATTTGGTTTTAAGTTGGAACAAGGGCAATTACTAGCTGCTTACTACAAACTTCAGTGCAGTAAAGTCTACATTTTCTTGCTTTCAAGGAAACAGCAACTCAATACGCCTTCCTTGACCATAAAAACTGTGACTTATATATAAGTTTATATAGTATTGCAAGATCATTTATGGTTACTTGTTTTATATAGAAGTTTTAGAAAAAGATGTTCCTCTATGCTTTAGTCTGTCCTAATAATGTATAGTTAATGCATACATTTTTCACAGTTTTATTGCATGCAGAGTATGTAGCAAAATTCCATTCTTTTAAATTTTGAATAACAAGTATTAAAAATTTCAACAGTACAAAAAATTCAGTGAAAAGAATATTTGTTTGTTAAAGATTCAGTGATGACAAATTTTTGGATGTCAGAGATCAAGGTCTAAATTTCTGACTTTACATGTTGATGAATATAACACAGAACTTGAATTGTTTATGTTAAAAGAGACGTTTACATTGTTACAATAGTTGTATCAACAATGAGGAATTTATGTACAGTTTTCCAGTTTTGTGTCTTAACGTTTTTTGTGCAACAAGCAA